GGGTGTATAATTACCCTTAAGTCAACTATACTATAAACTACATTTAGTTTTCATTCTATGGCGTGAATTCAGTCATTCTTACCAAATCCATAAGTACTGTTATGGATAATTTTCTGAACTGGTTGGCTCCCTCCTATCTATCAAATTCAAGATTCTAATTCTCAGAGTGGATGAAACAAGGAAATTTAGAAATTAACATTTAGAAAATGCTACTCTTACGCGGCTTATTTCTGTTGGGGAGTGTTATTCATTATGTTAGTATTTACATTCAAGAATGTGTCTAACTAATTTTACCTTAAATCACATGAAGCATCTCCTTCTCTCTCTTTTTTACAGCTTTATTGATATTTATATTTCACATACCATGAAATTCACCCATTTAAAGTATACAGTTCAGTAATTTTTAGTATATTCACAGAACTGTGCAACCATCACCACAACCTAATTTTAGAATATTTTTAACTTTCCAAAAAGAAACCTTTTCCTATTAGGAGTCATTCTTCATTTCCCCTCTCTTCCTCCCCAGCCTCATGTAACCACTGTCTACTTTCTACCACAAATCCAAATATGAATTTGCCTATTCTGTACACTTTACATAAATGGAATTATACAATCTTTTGTCTTTTTTTTTTTTTTTTTTGGTGAGGAAGATTGGCCCTGAGCTAACATCCGTGCCAATCTTCCTTTGTTTTGTATGTGGGATGCCCCCACCACATGGCTCAATGAGTGGTGTGCAGGTCTGCACCCGGGATCTGAACCTATGAAGCCCGGGCCACCAAAGCTGAGAGCGCGAACTTAACCACTATGCCACTGGGCCAGCCCCCAATCTTTTGTCTTTTGTGATTGGCTTCTTGCACTTAGCATTATATTTTCAAGGTGCATCCATATTTCAGCGTGTATGAATACTTCATTCCTTTTTAATGCCAAATAATATTTCATTGTGTGGATATACCATATTTTGTTTATCCATTCATCATTTGGATGGATAATGTGGTATTTTCATACAACAGAATATTATTCAGCAATTTAGATTACTTCCACATCTGGCTATTATGAATACTGTTGCTACGAACACTAGTGTCCAAGTTTTGTTTGAACATACGTTTTTATTCTCTTGGGTCTATACTTAAGAGTGGAATAGCTGGGTCACATATATGTCTATGTTCAGCATTTTGAGGAACTACCAGACTGCTTACCAAAGTAGCTGCACCATTTTACATTCCTACCAGCAATGAAAGAAGGTTCTAATTTCTCCACATCCTTACCAACACTTGTTATTGTCTGTCTTTTTTTTTTTAGCCATCTTAGTGTGAAGTACTATCTCACTGTGGTTTTGATTTGCACTTCACTAATGACTAATGATGCTGAGTATCTTCTCATGTTCCTTCTGCCTCTTTATCTTTCCCCTCCTACACATATTTCTGGAGAGACTTCAATGTCAAAAGCATGGGGACAAAATATCATGGTCTCCATGGTTTTACAATCTTGTCAAGGCAACAAGAAAGCGGCCAAATGAGAGTTCCAGGCAATAAGGGTGTTGGAAGTTCAGAAATACAGCCATGTGCCACATAACGACATTTCAGTCAACGACAGACCTCATATACAATGGTGGTCCCATAAGATTAGTACCACGCAGCCGAGGTGTGTAGTAGGCTATATCGTCTAGGTTTGTATAAGTACACTCTATGATGTTCACACAACAATGAAATCTCCTAACAATGCATTTCTCAGAACATAATGCTCAGCTATCTATACTAATACAGCTCCCCATTCAACAGACACACATGCTCAAACATCTTTACCTACACTTACACTGATGTGTTCAGAACTAACTTACCATTTGGAAATGTTCTTCTCTTATTACTTTCCTTGATCCCTATACCTTACACATATGTGCTTCTATTATTTAAAAGTTTCATCATATTACATTTATTGGTTGACTATGGGGTTTTGAGAATAGGGGCCGTATTTGTCTCATTTGCCCTGTATCCTATTGCCTATATATTTTAGTTCCTGCTGTGTAATAAGTGTCCAAAAAAATGTTGAACTATATCAAAGAGGAGCCAGGGACTCACAGACATTATTCTGCTCAAAAGTTAGGATAGAATTAATATCTTCTTTCGAAAGGCATTTCTAGGAACCAGGAAACAGAAGAAAGAATTTTGACAGTAAATTTTTTTACTTACATTTACAGGCTCACATGCACACAAACCAATGTGTAGTTCCAAGGATCTCCCGTGTAGACACATAAGGGCCCAGGTCCTGAAGTGCCTGAAGGAGGAAAGGAGGATCCTTGCCTTACTGGGGCAGGAACTGCACAAAAAAAGGGAACACACTCAGTGGAGTGGAGAAAAAGACCAGTGTCTAGAACAAGAGTCAAGCCAGAGCAGAGCCAAGGCTAAGTTTTGGTCTGGGACTCCTTGTAGTTCTCCTTCTAGTGATTTCAAGGTCTGGAGAGGGCTGAACCTACAGGTGGGCTCTATCCATAGGCAAGGAGTATAACAGACAAGATGTAGAAAGAAGGCGTAATGTCAAGGAAGGGAGAGATGGTAACTAGGCAACCCAACCACAAGGGGCTGGCTATGCCTTCGATAGTTGACTAATTACCATATTACCAGACCTGAATGTGGAAGAGACTTTAGATTATAACACCAATTCTGATGTGTGGTTTTTTCCCCCACACCAAGCAATTCTCTGACACCAGCTGTATGTCCTACAATTCAACTCAATTCTGACACTATCTACCTGGAGATAGTGTCAGATCCCACAGGTTAAGGACTCAATCCTATACGACTGACCCTCCACCGCCTTTCAGATGCCAATCACAAGTCCAGATTGCCACCTGTGCTACTGACCAACCAGCTATAGATCAGAGGTTCCAATGACCCCCTCCTTGGGTTCAATGAATTTACTAGAGCAGCTCACAGAACTCAGAGAGACACTTTACTTACTAGATTACTGGTTTATTATAAAAGGATATAACTCTAGAAACAATTAGATGGAAGAGATGCATAGAGCAAGATATGGGGAAAGGGCCCAGAGCTTCCACGCCCACTCCAGTGCTGCCACTCTCTTCGAATCTCCACGTGTTCACCAACCCGGAAGCTCTCTGAACCCGTCCTTTTGGGTTTTTATGGAGGCTTCATTACTAGGCATGATTGATTGAATCATTGGCCACTGGTGATTGAACGCAACCTCTAGTCCCCCTCTTCCCTCTCCGAAGGTCGAGGGGTGGGAGTGAAAGGTCCAACCCTCCAATCACATGGTTGATTCTCCCGAACCAGCACCCATCCTTAGGTGTTTTCCAAAAGTCACCTCATTAATGTAACAAATGACACCTTTATCACTCCCATCACAGGAAATTCCATGAGTTTTAGGAGGTCTTTGCCAGGAATGGGGAGGAAGACCAAATACGTATTTCTTATTAAATCACAATATCACAAAGGGTCTAGGAAAGATCTTCTAGAATGACTGGGGAGATGCTACTGAGATTCTCACACCCTATACTATTAAACTCTGCCAAAAGGAGGAAAGAAAGTGGAGAGGACGCATCTCTCACAAAATAGATTGATGTATTGTTGAACTGTAATGTCATCAGCCATTACCTTCTTGTTGCACGATAACCAAAACAAGAATACAGTGAATGCTAATCCAAGTGGTATTTGACGTTTGTAATTGGGCTCAGCATTCATATGTGATCTTCCATCCATCACAATTCTTACATTTGATCAACCATCTGTGCTTTTCAGAATTTAAAATCACATCTTGTTAAAATACGCACACTCAAAGTAGCTTGAACATTAACCCTCCTCCTTGCAGTCCCTATTGTGGCACAGCCTTTTAAGCAAACTGAAGTAATGCAGTAGTAAATTGAGAACTCAGTGTACACATTCTAGTACCTTCTGCTTGTGGAATTTGGGAAATAGGTCTTGTCACATTTTAAGGGACATGTGCCTTTTGGTATTAATGTAATTGTTGTGGGTGGACACAGAAATATGTTTCTTAGAACTAAAAACTCTTAAGGAATCCATTTAATGAAAGCTAGTTTTGAAAAGAGTGAAATAATAATTGTATTTCTATAATGAATCTAAGAATAGAGGATCCTTTATTCAACTTGAACCAGGTCCATAACTTTCCCAGGATTTTGACTCTCACTATTTATGGCTCATGCTGTCAAATATACGCAAACACCTTTGCGATGATTTAGAAGAAAATAAATGAACATTTTGGAAAAGTGAAGACCAACAAGAGTGCTATATGCTTGTTCTCTGCAATGAATTTTCCCAAATATTGGCTTCATTCAATAAACGATTGTTTTCAGAAACGTTTTGAGAAATGCGTTAAAGGAGGCTATATGTACTTATGACACTAAAGAATGAAAAGGAAATAAATAAGAAGAAATTAAAAAATAAAAAGGAAAAAATGTTGAGCCACCGTTCTTCAAACACTACCAAGGACAGGCGTGGTTAGGGAGAAATGGAACGGAGTTGGGTGTCTTACTGTTTGCTTGGCCTGCTACTCCTTCTAGCTGCTTAAACTGAGATTGTCACCTGTATTATTAAGCCTCCTAGAAGCACAAACAAGGTCTTGGTTGCTTTATTTTAACCTTCTTAAACCTGCCCTAAAGGTAAGGCAGCAGTTAACAAGAGGGAAGTATTTTACTGTATTTTTTTGGTGGTTCTATCACTTAAAGAATTTCTGTTAAAATGGTCATTCATTTAAATTACTTTCGAGATATCTTTTTGAGGTGTGGCCAAGGGCTCCCTGAGTGCTCACAAAAACAAGCTGTGACAGCCTTGGTTCGTTCTGGGACAGTTTTTCTCCAAGCCTCCTCAAACTCCACACCCTTCCTGGCTATACTTGTCCATTTGCTCTCATCCTTCTGGAAAAATTCTAGGTCTGAATCTAGAATTCCTCAGGACTAACTTTAACTTTCTCTCTGTGGCTTTTTGAACATCAGTTTTTCTACACTTTTGTATTCTGCCCTTTCCTTGATTCAGGTGCCCCTGGGCCCCCAGATCGGGAGCACCTCACCCCAGCTCCTGGCCCTGTCCAGGCCTGGTCAGCTGGGCACCGCATCCTCATTCCTGCCAAATTACTGGGGAAAGGAGGGGCTATTCAGATAAGGGAAACTGAGAGGGATTTCTAAATATTTATACACACACACATATCTATATTTCTCACTAATTCAGACAAATGAACTTCAGCATGTTGGAAAAAGAAGTACAGTGTTTACTACTTTTAAATATACACAGCAATTAGGCTTAGGATGGCAGAGTATTGCCTAGCAGGAGTTCTGAGGGAGTCAGATTTGATGACTATATAAGAATGCTTTCCAATTAACTTACCAATGATTTATGAATACACAGTTCTCGGAGTGCTTATAAATATTTGAAAATCGTAATTACTTACAGAAGGATTCAACAGGCTAAATTTTTTTCCCTCAAATAAATTTTGTAGACACCATTCATTTACTTAGCAAATCCCTTCTTTACAAATAATGAAAAGACACACTTGAGCCCAGACTTGTTCACGATACCGTGAATGTACAGTTGGAGTCTGAATGATGAGATTTTGTACCTCTAGGGTCTTGAGGAGGTCTATCCCCATGTTTACCTTAACACTCTGGACTTGTAGGGTCACTTCAGAAGGAACACAGCTTCCCCAAGATCTTATCATACCATTCTTGCCCTGGTGAGCAAAACTCAAGAAATGGACAGTGGTTGTCTCAATAGTAGCAATGACAAGTGGCCTAAAATGAGATTCATTTACATTTTAAAAATTACATTAAAATATTAATTTTATTTGTCTTTATATATTGCTTAAAGCCTCTCCCTTCAAGTCCAACTTTGTAATTAAATTACTTAAAAAAATTTGTTTTCTATCCAGACTGACCTTGATTATCTTAATCCAAGAGTCCTGGGATAAAGAAGATGGCAGCTTGACTGTCAGTCAGTCTGCAGCGCCGTATCCAGGGTTAACGGATCAAATGAGGAACTGGTTGGAGAGAGATCTGAAATTTTAGTATATTTGGCCATTAAGGAGAATAGACATGTTCCATGAACTAAAATTGTCTCTATTTGTTCAAGGAATTTAGTAGACTTTACAAACACTCTTTCATTTGACAGTAAAAAAAAAAGTGTCTTACCCATCTTTTTTCCCATGTACAGCACCTGGCACATGAGCAGTGCTTGCAACATATTCGATTGATGAATGAATGAAGAAATGAATGGAATGTTATGGTGTGAGATGGAGGTTGAGAGAGTGAGAAGAAAGTTTTCGCATCCTTGAAGCGATCCCTCTTGGATTGTAGTAGACGCCTACTGGGTGTCTGCCTATTCCACGCCCTTCCTCCCGCTAGTGAGGATGGGTCCCTACGTCTCGTCGGCTCCGCTGGCCAGAGCTGACTGGACCAGGATGAATGCAAGATCCAAGATTCTCTCGCCAGGATCTGGGTTTGAGACATGCCTGTCAGTCTGTCTCTGCTGGCTGCTTGAACTAAGGACTTGTAAACTAGGGGTCATAGGGAGCAACCTCCTGCTGTGTGCGTGGGGAGGCAAAGCTCTGTAGGGAGAGCTACGTCTAAAGGCAGAAGCTAGGGAGCAGGTCGCAGTGTGGAGACACAGAGGACCTCACTGGATGCTTCCAGGCTGCACCTCCTGCCCTCCAGCTCCCGAGATGCACCTGTGTCCTCCTGTCCCCCATCTTCTTTGCTTAAGCCCGTCTGAATGGGTTTCTGTTACTTTTCACCAAAGCAGCTTGACAAAGATGAGGTATTTTGAAATTCATTTTCCCTTTCCGGATTGAGTTTTCAGAAACGAGAATAAAGATTATGAAGCATGTCAGAGGCATGTGACAAAGTCTCCTCTTTGTTGGCAGGAGAAATTTTTTAAGTGCCCAATTCTAGGAATCCTCTAGCATTTATTCTTCCTGATATTCCTCCCCCAGTATAATCCTGTGAAAGACTGTAACTTTATGGTTATTTCTGTCAACCGATGGTAGTATACATACTGTTTTCCAAATTCAAAATGGCAACTGAGAAAAAAAACTGTCCCAAACAAGGTCTGGTACAGAAATTTTTGCAGACATAATTTATGACTCCTTCTGGGAAGTAATTAGCATTCCCGAGCAATTTTCTTGTAGACTTTAAGGAGGTTTAGAAATCCTTCTGGAAAGTTATGTGCCTACCCACCTAGTCAACTGACTATCTCCTGTGAGGAGTTTGATGTCACCAGGCATATTTTATGTTGTATCACATCAAAGTATGATTTAGAAAATCTAAAAGTATAATTCTTATATAAATATAAAACAGCATGTGGCAAAGATTTAACTTAATAAGAGATCCAGCTAGTTTAAAAATTCTGGGAAATATTGAATATCATCAATGAAACAATGCTGACAGAAGAATACAAAGTTTGATACAAAACTGGTTAATGTCCTACATGACAACAAAATGGTAACTTTTATGATTAACTTTTCTCCCAGACAGAAATCATGTTTCATTTTCATTTTTACTGCACAGAAATCTACAAGTTAACCTGTAACTTCAGAGTCTGTACCATAATCAATGGCAAATAATAATTCAAATGAAGGTACATTCCCCTGAAGAATTAAATAATCCTTCAGTGGGCCAGTTATTAAATGATGCTCCATTATAAGACTGAAAAGTCACACAAGCTTCTTTCTTTCTTATTTCCAAGTTTTGGAAAATTTTCTTAACAGCCACTTTTTTTTTCTATAAATATCTCTAAGAGAAGGGATATCTTTGAATTGGCTGGCTCTACTCTTGTGGAAAATTTGAAATAAAACTTTGACACATGCTCTTTTTAATTTGGCTGAGAAATTGCTTTAACGCTTCAATATTAAAAATTATTAGTAAGGTGATCCAAGTGCCGGAAAGCAGCTGTTTCGTTGATAGATTATTTCATGTGTTTTTGATAATCAGAGGCCACACTTGAAGGCCCAAACTAAAATATACAATGTAAAGGCAATTTAAATAACAAGCAACTCTTCACGCATTTACAGCATTTTTATTTTTCATCATTCATTTTTCTTAAACATTTAAGTAATGAACTGGCTATATTCAGATATAGGTGGAAACTATTGTTTTGACAAAAATCTAAATCCTTTTTATGAAGCTTTGTTATTTTATTAGAACATTGCACATTGGCCAAAAATAAATGCAGTTTTATTATATATATTTCATATTAGCATTTAACACTTTCCGTAATTGAACACCCCAAGTTACTGGTTACTTTTTACTATTAGATATTGAGGTCTGAGCACTACTTTTGTGGGTAATACTTTTCTCCATTTTCAGATAGAAGTATTTTGGTAAACCACGATTCTACAAATATAAAATATAATGTAAAAGTCTTTTCTGTTTCTTTTTTAGTATGTACGTTTTTAGTTTAATCCTCCTGTGGCAATTTTGTATTTTCTCAGATGGATAAAAAATCATTTATCCTATGTGCTTAGCTTTCTATGTTATGAGATTTTATTTTTGGTAGAACGTCTAAGTTTTAATTATAAAAATAATTTTATCACTAAAATTTTGAAAATAATGGCACTTCAAAATCTCTCTCTTTTTTGTTTGTTTCATATAAGATTGCTGTTGAGCAACTGGTAATTGCTGAAAGGCCTGAAGAGCAAAGCCGAGGTTTCCATGAGGAAGAAGAAATCCTGCCTGTGGGCTTCAGCTCCTGCCCAGGTGTTTCCAGCCTGATCTTCCTGACAGTCTGCCCTAGGGATTTTGGATCTGCCAGCCCCCACAATCGTGGAAGTCAATTCCTTGAAATAGATTTCCTTATAGATATAATATATATAGCTTGCATATGTGTCTATATGTGTATGAGTGCATGTATGTATATAATATACATACATATCCTACTGGTTCTGTTTCTCTGGTAGAACTCTGACTGATATACCTTTGAAATTGGTAAACTAGGCTAGGAACTAGTAAAATTCCTAGGAACTAGTAAACTGAAAGGCTAGGAAGCAGTAAACTTCTCCCCTCCTCCCTATGAAGAAACTCCCTTTGAAGAGCTCAACTTGTAAAAATTTGCCCCCTAAATCTGAGGTTTTATTTACTATACTACTTTAAATTTCTCCTTCCTTACTTCTGTAATTCCTCTATTAATTAGTATTTCCAAATGTTAATAAAGTGCATCACACACACAACAGCCTCATGTTGATGTTGTTAAGGGGATTTAAAGGATGGGGCAGTACTGAACGTGTGGCTGTCTCAATTAGAGTTCCTAACTACAAGCAACAGAAATTGACTACAGCTGATTGAATGATAAAAAAAAAAGAATGTATTGAAAGCATATTGGGCTGCTCAGAATAGCTGAGAATGGACAGTGAGAGTGAGGCTTGGAAAATGGCCAGGAGGATCTACAACAGCAGCCAGGAGCTGGTCAGACTTTCTGCCACAAAACCACCCTGTTGAGGATATTGCCACCTCCCCGACTGACTGCTGGACACACTGGTTAGGAGGCCACCTCCGCCATACTGCCTCAGAAACTAATGCAGTGTGGTTGCTGCCACCCTCTGCCAGAATCTATTCTCTACTGTCCCCTGCTTTTGGGTTCCCAGCTCCTGGTTCAAGTCCAAGGTGGGTGCATTTGACTGGTCACACCTGGGTCACATGCTGATCCCCCAGTGGTAAGGGCGTCTGGGAGAGTACTGGGTACTTTTGGTTTCTATAGAGGGAGGGCTCTGCTTGGTGGGAAATTCTCCAAATATAGGAAGCGGATTTGGATGGGGGTCAGTAAAAGAGGACAAATGTCCACTACAGTGCCTTCTGGCACCACCCTTCTGTGGAAGCCTGCATGGCGGTAGCAGACTAGACACTGTAGAACCATCATGCTGGAGCAGCTGGCTGATACCAGTGGGGAAGCAGAGCTGAGTGAGATTGGGAGGAGCAGGTGGAGCAGCCAAGTGGCTGGAGGACACTTGAGGATGGTGCCCATGGGCCTTGAGGACCACAGAAGACCAGGGGGACAAAGGTCATCTGCATGGAGTGGCCTGGCCAGCACCAACAGATCCTTAAAGGAGCATCTCTGAATGATGTCTGTGGAGAGGAGCCATACCTGCAGCCCTTCTCATTTGCATCAGACAAAAGCATCCCAAGGATGGCTGGCTGCCAAGCATCTGCTCATCTTCCAGCAGGACTGACACCCACCCGTGCCTGGAGGCCTTGCTCAGCTCATGTTACCTACGTGGGGTAGATATCCCTGCTTCAGCATCCAAGGGCATTTGTAAGCCCTCTTATCCCCCACCTGCCAAACAGAGAATGAGATTCTGGACACCCAGGGAGATGGTGGCATCATGGAGTAGAAGACATGCCACCCACCCAGCATCGGTACTTGGGTGGATCTGAACAAAACTAACTAGACATCTTATTCAGGGATTATTTGACCCATGCCACCCCTCCTTTCCTCAGGCTGGGACAGTGGTGAAAGTTACTTCTAGTTTGTGACTGTCCAATTTATAACTCTTATATTTGTAAAATAAAATCAAGCCACAAAAAATCTAATGGTTGGCAGTTGCACTAGGAATGCTTTCAGTTGCAGGGAACAGAAAACGCAACCTACAAAGCTTTAAACAAATAGGGGTTTAATTTCCCATTATGACAAGTGGGTCTGGGAGTGGCAGCTGCTATTGTTGGTTCAGACTCAAAGATATTAAAGTGGTTACTTTTGTGATTCAAAGAGCTTTTCCCTCACGGTCATTGCAATGGACTGAATATTTGTGTTCCCTCCAAATTTCACATGTTGAAACCCTAATCCCAATGTGATGGTATTAAAAGGTGGGGCCTTTGGTAGGTAAGTAGGTCATGAGGGTGGAGCCCACTTAAACAGGATTGGTGCCCTTACAAGAAGAGGTCAGAGGGTTAGCTAGCTCTCTTTCTGCCACACGAGGATACAACAGTCGACAGTCTGTAACCCGAAGAGGGCTCTCACCAGAACCAGACCATGCTGGCACCCTGATCTCAGACTTTCAGCCTCCAGAACTGTGGGAAATAAATTTCTGTGGTTTATAAGCCGCCCAGTCTATGGTACTCTGTTATAGCAGCTCGAACTGACTAAGACAGTTGTAATATGGCAGATTGCAACAGCACCAGGCATCATGGTCACATTCCTGCTGGAAGGAAGTATGAAGGGGACAACTGAATCTGTCTCGTTTATGAGGAAAGCAAAAGCATTCCCAAGAACCCTAGTATGCTGCATTTATGGTTCATCAGCCGTGTCACATGACCATCTATAACTGCAAGGGAGCCTGGGAAATATTTACCATTTCCTGCATATAAAGGAGAGGCAGGCAAAGAAGAATGAAACTGAAATGGGAGTGAGTTAGCCAACCAACAGTGGCTTCTTCCATTGCCAAGTTTCATAATTTGAATTAATATTGATTTGTGAACTGATAATTCCTTCACTGTCTATTGATGCTTGCTAGCCCACAATTTACGACAGGCAACAAAAGTTTCCCCCCAAAATTAGGAAGAGAAACAGTTAATAAAATTCTATCCAGTAATCTATTTTTTTTGTAAAAATAGAAGTTACTATTATATGATTTCAGTGACAGACAAATACAAGCAATGTCATGAAATGCTACATTCCTCACAGAGCACTGTAAAGAATTGTGACTTTGAAAATCAGACCTGGAGAAGGAAATGTATTATTTTTAAGTCTTGAGGTATATTATAAAACATAGTACAAAAAAAAGACTTGGTTTCTAGTCCTGTCTCAGTCAATAAATATCTTTGTGGCCTCTGGCAAGTCAGTCTTTGTTTTCTTTTCCATAAAATGATAATCTTTTCTATTAAGTGAAATCATAAATTACATTGGTTGTTGTCAGATCTGAAAATTTATGATGTAATTAGTCTTGATGTCTTTGATTCCATGTGGGTGGACAATAAATAAATTGCTACGTGTTCATTCATTTGGTCTTTTTAAATTTAAGAGCTATTTTTTGAGCACCTACTGTGTGCTGGGTAACAGAGGCACCAAGGATGAATCTCTTGTTAAAAGACCAATTTAAGCGGGGTTTTTAGTTTGAGGTTTACTTTAAAATTTTTTGGGATAAGTAAGAAATTGAATTATTTACCTGAAGTACATTAGCCCAATTCCTTCAACGGTGGGATCATTTCTACCATGGTCTGAGCAGGCAGGATCTAAGGAATCTGCCGTCTCCTCCAGCTCGGGCATCTTCCTCGCCACTCTGTCTTCTTATCAAGGTTCCTATTACTGAGCTGACTCTATCTCCAGAAGGTCAAGTTTTAAGAGTACTGCTGTCCGACGGGTGGGAGAGCTGCCTGAGACAACTATCTCCTCAACTACTAACCGCTGGAATTAATCTAGAATATTAGTCCGGAAGCCGGAAGGAGGTCCTCTGAGGATGGTGCCCAGGGCAGGAACTCGTGGCCCAGGATAGCTGTGGAAGGTCTGGGACTCAGGCCAGACCCAAGGAAGTCTGCTGTAGCTCAGGGATCCTGAACAACCTACACCTTTCTGGGAGCAAAGAGGAATTTTTAGCAGGAAGAGATGACCAAAGACAAACCTGTCTAGTTCACAATTTTGCCTAAGATGGCACAGACCAGGGAACTATAGGACTGTATTGATTGTATTAGCCTTGGTTTTCTTTCTGAAATCAGCCAGATCTGTGTGTGCCATCACTCCTGGAGGTGTCCCTCCTTTCTCCCACCCTCTCACCTTCCCTACCTTCTGTCATCTCAACATAGTCTAGAGGTTAGGCACCAGGTGGAGCCAAATTGCCAGTGCTTACAAATCATTGTACCCTCCTGGTTATGTGGCTTGGGCAAGTGCTTCATCTCTCTCTGTGTCTCCTCTGTACACAGGGTCAATGTGATAATGGCCAAGCTTAGAGGGTGTTTTAAGATAAAATGAGTTAATGCACAATAATCACCTAGAAAAATGTTAGCTCTCATTTCTCCTTCTCAGACCTACCTACTACGGACACCATTTTTCCTTTCCTTCCCTGGTCAAGCTGAGTTTTCACCTCTATTAAAAGACAACTCTTTTCTTGAGCGCCTGGGTCTAACCTCTTCTAAGCTGATTATTAGGCTGCACAATTAACTCTGACAATACGCTAATGAGACAGACAGGGTGATGACGCTGTGCAGTTCCTAAGAGAGCAGGGGCACATGGAACCCAGCCACCCTGAGTCCCAGGTCAGCATTCCCTTTAGGCTAACATGCAGGGCATCCCGTGGCAAAGGCACCGTTTGTAGGCAAAGTTACACAAATTGCCTACAAAGTCAGACAGTTAAAATGTCATTTCTTTCCACTTAATTTTGCAGTGAACCTAAAACTGCTCTAAAAAATAAAGTTTATTAATAAAAAAAAGATAGGACCAAAAAAAAAGTCATTTCTAATTTTCTTAGTTTCTGAAGAGTATTTAGAGTTTACTACCACTTAAGGATTTTTTATTTTACTAATACGAATGTGAACAATTGTTCAAGAGTTAATCCGGTACTTAGTAGCCCTTATGAGCAGATGCAATCCTCTCCTCTCCATGGAGATTTGGGGCCGGTCTTCCTAGAGTTTATAGTCAAGTAGACCTGAACTGTTTAATACCCACCAGCCACAGTGGTTATTGAGCATTTGAAATGTGGCTAGTCCAAACTGAAATTTGCTGTTGCTACACATAAGGTTTTGAGGACTAAGTACAATAAAAAGAATGTAAAATATCTCATGAATAATTTTTATATTGATAATATCACAAAATAATATTTTAGATATATGAGGTTAAATGAAACAATATTAAAATTAATTTCACCTGTTTCTTTTTACTTTTTAAAATGTGGCTCCTAGAAAATATAAACTTATACATGTAGCACACATTATATTTCTAATGGACAGTGCTAGACCCAATGAGAAGAGAGTTGCAGATGTGAAATATTTATATTCCTCTTTGCAAAAGTCTGGTAAGGCAGAGTTCCTAGGAACTTCACACATGCCGATGCAGATATTGTTCTGACAGGTAGACATTATTTAGGAAACTATTTTTGTCACTTCCAAGTTAAAACTCTAAAAATTTCCATTGAGTTCTCAGCTGAAAAGTTAGCTGTGGATGTATTTGACAAGGACGCAATGAGAGGAACTGAAGTATGAGTCAAGGCTGCGGAAAGATGTGTGAATTAAAGTTGAAACATTCTATATTCCATTTTGAAATTTTTTTTTGTTTGGAAGATTGGCCCTGAGCTAACACCTGCCAATTCTCTTTTTTTGCTGAGGAAGACTGGCCCTGGGCTAACATCCGTGCCCACCTTCCTCCACTTTATACAGGACGCCGCCACAGCATGGTCTGACAAGCCGTGGTGGGTGTGCGCCCAGGATCCCAACCTGCAAACCCCGGGCCAGGGCAGCGGAGTGCGCACTTAACTGCCTGTGCCACCAGGCCGGCCCCCCATTTTGAATTTTTTTCTCTTGAAGCTGGAAACAGATAAAATTCCACATTCAAACAAAATAAGTGGACTTGGCTGATGCTAGAAGTGACAGTCAGCTGAGACCTAACAGAAAGGTGATGGAATACAGTCAGGAAATGGCACCCAGGGCTCGGTGGCCAAGGCTCTGGATTTCCGCTCTCGGGGAGGCGGCTCCGAGCGCGCTGCGGCCTAAGCGGCCGGGGCGCGCGGGCAGCAGGAGGGACCCGGTCCAGGCGGGGCATTGCTGGTCGCCACGGCAACCGCGTGAGCAGCAAACAGCGGGGAGAGCCGGCCGACAGGCGGCCCGAGCGGACGCCGGGGAGCAGCGCGGGCAGGGGACGGAGGCGACGGCGGGGCCCAGCACCGGACGACCGGCCAGCCCGCTGCGTG